GCCAACATGGATATTGTCGATCGGGATATGCAGCGGGCTGAGCTCCAGGCCACGCGCCAATGGTCTCACGAAAGTAAAGAGCGCCGGTCATTGCGCAGCCAGAGATCTCAGCAATCTGGAATTTCGAGCTCTACAGGCTCCAGCACATCCTCTGCACCCGATATGGGCAGAATAGCTACTGCTGGAGCCTCAAGCGCAACAGTTCCTTCGACACGGGCCGTGAGAACGAGGACCCATCCCATTGAGGACCTCAGAATGGAAACACACCGCTTGCAACAAGTTCAGACCGTGGGAGCAAGTATAAAGTCAAAGGCGGACACCAAACCTCTACCCGAATTTGGTGGTGGAAAACCGTATCCTCCCGATCTGCCAGCGCAGGAAGAGTACGTTGTGGAGTTTGATGGCAAAGATGATCCTCTCCATCCTCAAAATTGGCCCTTCAGGCGAAAGTGAGTACGGATCGGCACGACGGAACAGAAGTCGCTCATGCTGACGTCGCTCATAGGTTGTACATGGGCGCAATCCTGGCTTATGTCTGCTTGTGCAGTACTTTCACATCCTCTATTTTCTCCGCCTCGACCTTCAGTGTGGCTGCTCATTTCGGAGTCAGTGCTGAAGTGGCCACACTCAGCACGTCCCTGTACGTCCTAGGGTACGCATTTGGCCCGTTGATATGGGCTCCTTTCTCAGAATTGCGAGGCAAGTGGTGTCAGAACCGAGAGAAGGCCGACATGCTGACACTGTCCAAACAGGTCGAAAACTGCCCATCATCGTTGGAATGTTTGGCTTCTCGGTCTTTTGCTTCGGCTGTGCCACAGCAAAGGATCTACAGACAGTTATGATTACCAGATTTTTCACAGGGTTTTTCGGTTCGTGTCCGTTGGCTGTCGTGGCTGCCGTCTTCGCCGACATGTTCGACAACACACAGAGAGGCACAGCTATTGTCATCTTCTCCTCAATGGTTTTCATGGGCCCGATGCTCGGACCGTTCATTGGAGGTTTTATCAACAAATCTTACCTAGGATGGCGTTGGAACCTGTACATTCCGGGCATAATGGGCTCTGCGGCTGTGTGCCTGGTCATTTTATTCGTCCAGGAATCCTACGCCCCTGTGGTCTTGGTGAGCAAAGCCGCGGAACTGCGCCGCCGAACTAAGAATTGGGGTATTCACGCGAAGCAAGAGGAGGTAGAGGTGGACTTCAAAGAGCTCATCACTAAGAATTTTTCCCGTCCAATTCGACTCCTGGTCTCCGAGCCCATCATTCTGGCCATCACCTGCTACATGTCATTCATTTATGGCCTCTTGTACTGCTTTCTGACGGCCTACCCTCTGGTTTTCCAGGGTGTCCACCATATCACTCCTGGTGTTGCAGGCTTACCCTTTTTTGGAATGGTCGCTGGGATCTTCATCGTCGCCGGCTACATCATCTGGGATTCCAAGGCCTATAACAAGAAGCTTGCGGCTAATGGCGGAATTCCAGTCCCAGAATGGCGTCTTCCACCAGTCATGGTCGGGGGAGTGCTGTTTGCCGCTGGTCTTTTCTGGTTTGGTTGGACGGGATACAAGGCATCAATTCATTGGATCGTTCCGACTCTGTCTGGTCTCTTTACCGGGTTTGGTCTGTTGGCTATCTTCATCTGTTGTTTCAACTACATCATTGACTCGTACCTCATGTTGTAAGTCGGAAACTCGTCCACGACGTTTTAGTGACGCATGTACTGACAATCTCCAGCGCTGCTTCGGCCATTGCAGCAAATACCTTCCTGCGATCGTGTCTTGCGGCAGGATTCCCCCTTTTTGCGCGCCAAATGTTTGATAACCTCGGCATCGAATGGGCTGCCACGCTTCTTGGCTGTGTTGCCGCTCTTTGCGTCCCCATACCTGTGTGCTTTTACTTCTTTGGCAAAAAGCTCCGCCAAAGATCCAAATTTGCACCTACCATGGCGATCCGGAAGCCTGTGGACGAAGAGGGTGGTAGTGAAGAAGAAGAAGAACAGGAAGCCAACATGGCCGCTTTGCATGCTACGCGCAGCCGTGCGCACCACGACTTGGAGGTGCGGTCGAGGAGGACTCGCACGAACGGCAGCCTGGGAACGACAACCAGCAATCCCGGACATGATCCAGAGAAAAGCGCATAGCATGCGATTCATTCAGCCAGAGCAAACCAGAGCTATGGGTGAAATGGGGTTCGTTGTCTTTATAGGGAGTCTTCAGTTAGCCATGGGGGTGGACATGTCAACAATGGGAACACGGACTGCCGGCTCTCGGTATTGTGGGGGACATCGTCCACAGTATATACAGTCAAAACTAAGCAGAGAATTTCCCGATATGCCGTCTCGCCGCATACGCTCAGGAGCATCGTAGTAGATCGTCGATGTCGGCTTGTCTGGGAAAATTATCGGATTAATTTCGCCCCAATTTTCTGCCCGATGTTTTGGGTATAGGCGGGACGCGGCACCGAGATGAAGCTATATAGTCTTCAGCTTGTTGTCTATTTCCTCAGCTCCATCTGAGCAGACGGCACTCTTCCAAGTATACAATAACGTATGGGAGTTGATACAAGGTTCGGATGTGCCCAATGATTATGGAGCTATTCACCCTTCTCTGAAAAAGGAGAAAGGAGGCTTTGGTAACTGGAGGTCAGCTGTATCTGACACACCCACCGCAACCTGTCGAGAACGAAGAAAATAACCCGACAGGACAAAGGTTCGCAGACCAATTCGCAGACAAAATACTTGTACCTTGTAGTGGTTGATCAAACGGCGGAAGTTGAACTGCCGGGACGTTCTGTGGATGTTAGCCGCCACCAGCTCCACCACCACCACAATTGAAACTCTCGATTTCTTCCATCTTCCACGACGCCACGAATCACCGCCTCTCGCTACTCGCAGGATCTCCATCGTCGCGCCACAAGACCGATTCATCTTGACGCAATCCTCACTGCTTACGGCATCATCATCACCAAAACTGACAAAGCGCGGAATATCTTCCAGCCTTGTCAATGCTGCTCACGTAGCTACAGAGCGTGTGGAGCCACCGAAGAAGCAGCTGTCTACCAGCTTCTAGCCCATCCCATCAGCAAGCTAGCTGAAGTGGTCATCCAATCCTCCCATCACCCCATCACCAAGCATTACCCGATCCAATCTGTTCCTCCCTCGAACCCTCCACTTTTAAGCACCTCTTGTTCACCCTGCGCTGGCTCACTGTTGTGGACCGCCCATTCAAGATCGGAAAGAGAAAAGGGACCAGAGCAAGAACCATGCGTCTCACAGCGCCATCTCAGACTCTCAGATATTTAAACATCAGACCACTTCGCGCGCCATCTGTCTCTGTCTTTCTTCCACTTCACACGCACTCCCTCAAAACTCCAACTACTACAAATCTTGCAAAGTCAACGGCGCAAGCACGTCCATTCACATCATCGATCAGCAAAATGTCGTCGGAATCGTTTTTGGAAGCTGTCAAATCTCGCCGGTCTTACTATGCTTTGACGAGTGAGTCTCCGATTCCCGACTCCAAGATCCACGAGATTGTCAACACAGCCATCACAAATGTGCCGAGCTCGTTCAACTCGCAGTCAACCCGCGTGGTTGTCCTGCTGAACGAGGAGCACAAGAAACTGTGGGGTGATATCGTGATCCCCGTCGTCAAGTCGGTTGCTCCCGCCGATGCGTGGCCTGCTTCGGAGAAGAAACTTGAGGGATTCAAGGCGGGCTATGGCACCATCTTGTTCTACGAGGAGCCCAAGGATGTCGCCAAGCTGCAGGAAGCTTTCCCTCTCTATGCAGACAAATTCCCTCAATGGAGTGAACACACCAATGCCATGCACCAATTTGTTTGTAAGTCATCCTCGCGTCTCGTGAATCACTCTACTTTTGTACTTCGGGCTGACAGGAGGAAACAGTGTGGACCGCTTTGGAGAAGGAAGGCTTTGGCGCAAACCTACAACATTATAACCCCTTGATCGACGAAAAGATTGCGGCAACATGGAACGTGCCCAACAACTGGAGCTTAAAAGCACAGCTGGTCTTTGGCAAGCCAGCTGGCGAGCCTTACCCGAAGACATTTAAGCCGCTCGAAGAACGGGTCTTTGTCCACGGAGCCAAGTAATGGATTATATTTGTTTGAGGTCCGACACCTCCGCATTTGCCTCGTGTGGTCGGAGTCTATACAGGAAGACCGCTTTAAACCTAGAGAAGCGATAAATTCATTGAGTTTGCTCGTACAAAGAACTGGTTCTTTACCTAACTTGGTTTGGCGAGGATGCGAATTGCATTCACTTTTTCCATTGCTTCCACCCCTCTCTCTCTCTCTCTCTCTGCGCATGTGGCTCTAGTTGCCCAACTCAAGACGGACGTCGGCCGTGCTCGCGTGGGTATGCGAATTAATAGGATCAAACCTTCTGCACCGACAAAAGTACTCTAAAAGCGGCTTGGAGTCTTACTGTAAGTGGTCTGTGGCGTGTCCGAACAATCCACCGATGGATATGTGGGAGACGCCGACGATAAGACCTTGGCAGTCAAAACAATTATGCCCTGGAACTCACTGATTTATTGTTTTCGGGGAATTGATCGGTAGACTGGTTGATAGTTGATATAGAGACCATAGAGTTGCATGTCAAGGACAGACAGGAATCGCTCTATGCAACATGACGGTCGACTGCAACTGAAAAGAAGCACTTCGTTTTGTGCCGTACAATTCAACAAAGGCCTTCTTTCCCGCTCCTTGGACAGGTCCGTCACAGTTATGTCACAAATCACCTGACTCGGTCGGTCCTTGGTGCCTCTGACTCCATTTTGAATACTCTTCAGAGAGAACCAACACCATCAAACAGTGCCATTGAAACTGTTCGAAAAACGCCACAGAGACTTGTTCTGGCGCCATTGCGGCCCTTGTTTCCTCGTTTTACACTCCAACTCGCTCCGATCCCATCATATTATGCAGCAGCCATCCCGGGAGTTTTCTGGCACCCACCTCTTCTACCACCTGAAGCTTCATCATGGCACGGCTCCAGGATAATGCCCGGGAACATTGGGACTGGGAGAAAAGCCCAATCCGCGTTTATACCCCAGACCCGGAAGAGCTTAAGGAGTGGCAACAGAGTCTGCCCTGAAGTTAGAGGACGTCTTCGACTTCAATAGTGGCCTCCGGGAGGGGGATGTGCCCGAACCTCGCCCTCCACCGCCTCCCAAATGCGATCAACTTGACGAGATCGAAAAGGCAGCGAGCGAAGGAGACCTCTGCACTATACAGCGCATATTCGATCAATTGCGCGGTACACCTGCCGGTGACTACTGGATTCCACGCCAAACGAGCAGTCTATTCCGTGCAGTTCGGACTGGTCATACGGCTATTGTCGAATATCTTCTAAGTCAAGGGTCTTCTCCGACGGTTAACCTTGCTAAAATTGCCGTCGACAATAATGATACGGCTATACTTGAGCTGTTCCTCAAGTATGGATGGGATATTAACGAGCAGTTAGGATGGTGTGATCCGCCAGTACTTGGGTAAGTTAATATGAGCAATATTATCCTAAATTATCCTTCTAATAGTAACAGATTTGTGGTTGAGAATGTAGATTTAGCTACCTGGCTCCTCTCCCATGGTGCAGATCCAAATGCTAGATGCGTGTTGGATATAACCCCATTGTCATAGCCAATATCAGTGTCTTGGATTCTTGCGGAGAGTCGGTCCTTCATCGCGCCGAATTCCACAGGCGTCAAGAAGTGGTTGACTTTCTTCGTCATATCCTAGCGGAAAGTTCGAATCCGCCTGCATCGACGGAGTCCATGGAATAGCAGGCGGCTTGACGACAAACCAACACGGAACGTTGTATTTCTGTTTATACAAGGGAGCCGTATTTGAAGGACATTCTTTCCCTTCACGATCGGATGGAGTTTGCGCGAAGAGTATTACTGCGGAGAGATGCGGAATCAACAAGGCCGCTCGAGCTGCGCTGGAACACATTTTTGGGACTGGAGTATAGTTTGTCTATAGGTTACATTGGAATTCGGAGCCAAATATTTGGGAATCCAAGGAAGACCTGGAAGTCGAAACCAAGGAGTTTTTGTATATATAAGATGGCAACAGTAGGATAGTGCAGTCTTTATCTTTGCCAGTTCAGGACAATACTATCTGTTGCCGACAGAAACGAAACGATCGGTCACGAATCAGAATTCACAGCTGTATACACACCCATCTGCAGCCTGAAATCGAACAGCCTCTTGTACCGATCTCCGCCCCTTCCTGGGAGAGCGCACGCAGAAAACACACCATCTTCTGTATTGGACGACTTAAAAGGCCTTCGGGACCCAAGGACTGTTGAACACCCTACCAAATTACACAGAACGAAGAACCCGTTGCACCACACCATCTTTTTCTCGCCGCTACTACAACATACTACTATTGCTCCCAAGTGAGAATCAAAATCTGTGAGCCCGACAAATAGCAGACGAGATAGGTGAGGTCTTACCCCAGCTCACGCGAGCTGGGGTGAGTATAGGGCGACAATCGCGAGTAGATTCTTACTGACCTCGGCAGGAACAACGGGGTTTAGAGTGATTCGGAATGATTCGGCGGACTTCTTTTCTCATGGTAACCACATCCCCAAACAAAGCCCCATGGGTGCTCAAGCCTCATTACGCTGCAGTATGAGGTCTTCCCCAATCGGCTAAGGATCTCTTGAGTCGAGCTGCAATAGAGGCGTTCCTGGCTAGTCACTAGTCAACGGGCGCCTCGTATTTCGGATGAGGCTGAGAATGTCGAATTGCGGGGAACCCATCGGATACGGGAATCGGGGAAACTATTCTCCGCACCTTGCCACGCTGCCACGATCCGAACAAGCAATCGAGAACTCGATTGTATTTTTCTCCTTGTATATTCTGTTGTTTATTCCTTGGAGAGCATGAAGCCTGACCTCCCTCGATTCTCCAGAGTCATCACCCGAGTTGATACACTCAAAGCATATAAGCTCACCATTGTCCTGCGGACAACAAAAACCTCCCGAAGAGGCCGAAATTTCACAACAGCCACCCACCCCTCGGCTGCGGCTCCAATTCGCCGATAGGGCTCGATCCGATTGACAAATACAATATTACACCCAACTGACCACCATTGAAAGACAATAAAACAGATCCGAGTTCCCCGGCATGTAAGGAGGATTGCTGACTTCTGATTTTGAAATCGAGAAAAGGAATCTGCATCCTGACCATGTCTAAATAACACCCATAACTAACCACACGGCTCGCCAACCAAAGGTTGGAGTATTGTACCATGTCACAAACTTACGACTTCCTCGTTGGCACGTTCAACACCCCTGAGCTCTATACCCTGAGATTCACGCCTCCCTTACCCTCCTCGACGGACTCTTCGGGCAGTCTCCAAGTCCTTCACTGCGCCACTGCCATCGGGTCTCACTCCTGGTTGCATCTCTCCCCCACGAAGCAGACTGGGAAGCGGAACCTGTACGCCACTGCATGGACAGAGCCTCCCGCCGTGGTTGCCTATGCCGTCAACTCCCCGACAGATATCCAGCTGCTGGGTAGTGCCCCAACTCGGTCTCGCAGTGGCTATGTCACAGCGAACGAAGTAGCGCTCTATTCTGCGGGCGGAGCTACAGGAGAGGTCTTTAGTCTGGATCCCAAGACAGGCAATATCATCGCACCGGTGAATTCTGATCATGCTCAAGCCAATGGGGTCGTCAAAGACGGAAGAATCCAACCGCTTCAACTCCTCTCGTTTGTGGACGCAGACGCACAGCGTGATGATGGCAGTGTCATGGACTTTGGAGGACTTCGCCACGGCGCTCATTCCACAGACCTCTCGCCCGACGGTCGAGCCTTTTACGTTGCGGACATTGGGCGGAATTGTATCTGGACATTCTCGGTCGATCCCAGAACCGGAGAGTTGACGCCTGGGGAGAAACACATCTCACCCCGTCCCACAGATGGACCAAGACACGTGTGGCCACACCCAAGCGGAAAATTCGTGTATTGCTTGCAGGAACACACCAGTGTCGTGGACGTGTTCTCCGCCACTAATCACGGGGTCAATCTGAAGCATGAACAAGGCGTCCGAATAATTCCTCTGGAGGAGAAAGCCGAGGACTACTGGGCTGATGAAGTACGGACGAGTATCTCCTCAGGCGACAAGCCAAAGTATTTATACGCGAGTACACGGGGACTGAAGGAGGGCAAGAGGGGATATGTTGCAGTATACAAGCTGACCGACGAAGGCCTGGTCGACACCTCGGTCACTGCCCACCCGTCGTACAGAAAGGCCGCGGCAAGCTCTCAGGACGCGGCATACAATTTCGGTGGACTCTACGAAGGCTTGCTGTACTTGTGGGAGACACCTACGAGTGGCGGATGGGCGAATGCGATCCAGCCCGGTCCGACGATTGGCGGAGTAGAGTATCTGGCGCTGACCGATAGTGAGGAGGGATTTGTGTTTGTACTGGGCTGGGACGGTGTCGAGATTAAAGAGGTTGCGAGGACGAAGCTGAACAATGGCGCCGGAGCGGCAACGGCGGTGTGGTTGTGAACAAAACATGGACGGTGGGTGACAGTGCGAGATGTGAGACGAATCTTTCTAAGTGGGACATACGGCAGGCGACCACAACTCCTGGATTTTCAGAGCCAGTCGGATATACGGAGTATGCAATTATCCGGGACAAAAGGCCTGTTTCCCTTTTTCAATCGACGCGAGCCCTACGAGCCCAGACGACTGGGTGGTTTGATCGATGGAGTTGGCCCATTCTCAACATTCGGGGATCTGCATGCCGGAACGTGCCAACAAGTGGTGACAGTGGCGACAGAGTTCCTGCAGGCGGCGGGCCGTGGAACGAGATATGCGAGGATCGTTCGTTTAATGAGTCCTGATTGGGGTTTCGATGGGCGGAGCATGGCCGCGGGCGGGCAGACAGGACTGACCAAGGTGCCCATCTGACGGGCCATGACAGGCTTGAGAGAGGCACCAGAGACACCAGAGATACCCGAGAGGGCTAGCAATCAGCTTTGTGTTTTGTGTTTTGTTGACTTCTGCACTCATTGACACATTGGATATAGGGTGCTACACGACACGGGAAGCCGAGGAATAGAGAGGCCACTTACCCATGAACTCATTCATATCATACCATGTCAATATTTACTACTAGTCAGCAGAAGAATGACGAGGGGTCTTAGCGAGGACACATGGACACATGGGCACATCGGATATATACACAAACTCGGTACACAAACTCGGTACACAAACTCGGTACACAAACTCGGTACACAAACTCGGTACACAAACTCGGTACATAGATTTAGGTAGCCCATAGACGATTTGAATGTAACTTATACATACATAGAAATATACCCCTCCATTCCTTTTTCTATCTTCTCTCTGAACTCGACCATGAGGCAGTCAGTCACAGGAAGTCACAAATGTATACTTTGTTCCAGTGGATAGTCAAGTTCAACGCTCAACTCGAGCTACGTGTGTATTTATGTGCTGAATATATTTGAGCTCGCTGTACTCACTGCACCCACTATACCCACGATAGCTGGTACCTCGTACCTCGTACCCGGTACCCCGTCCCCTGTCTTCCTTAAAGGGTTATTTCCCTCTCTCGCTTCGTCCTCGCTGGTCCAGATCACGATCACGGTCACGATCACGGATAAATTATCAATTAGCGGGCGAGGAATCGCCGATTGCACCCTATATTTTGCCAGCTTGACCACTGACCAGGTACCCAGCCCTACTTGCCTACCGAAGTAGGTAGAAACATACGAGGTATCAATATGCACGAGGAAGGTAATGCGGTACATGCCTACTTGGGTACCAGGCCATGTACCAGATGGAGAGATGGAGGGATGGACTGATATAGATGGGTTGATGTTAGCGACACCACCACCTCCCTCTTTCTCTCTCTCTCTCATTTTGTTTTCGATAACATCATATCACACCATCTGTACCTCGTACCTCTTACCTCTCGGAGGTACAGTATCTAACCCCCCTCAGGTTTTCGCAAATCCAATTTTTCTTTTCTTTTCTGTTTTTGGGAGTCTCACAAGGATTGGTGGAGATTAGTCACCGTCACCCATTTCTTTTTGGCTCCGTTTCGTTTCAGTTCATCCTCCCCTGCTGCGTCTGTGCGTCCGTGCTTCTTTGTCGGTGTGTATGTATGTGTACGTGGATGTGGATGTGTGTATTTGTCACGACTTACGATTATTACGAAAACCCCTCCGATATTTGGCTGGGGAAGGATTCACACACTGTCAAGGATCCAGGGATCCAGGGATCCAGGGATTCAGGGTCCCACCTACAGCTCGCATCCCACAAAACCCGAAAGTTTACGAGGGGTTTACCAGTGAGAGGTACAGCGCCAACTCCTGTTTCTGGCAAAGTCTCGGGCCCCCACCCTCCCGATTAGCTAGCCAGCCAACAGCCCGCCAACCCCCGAAATCCTTCTCCGAAGTATCCAACGGAGGCGTACCAAGGGCTACCGAGGACGCGGGGTTGTGAAACGAAAGCGTATGTGTTTGTGCTACGGGAACTTTCTTACAAAGTATTTAGGTACCCAGAAAGAAGAGGAGGAGGGGGAGGAAGAAGAGGGAGGGGAGGACAACGACAACGACGACAACGATAAACAACACACGTATGCTGAGCAGAATTCACCGTTGCTGTTGAGTAGACCTGAAGAGATAGGATAATGGTCTTTTGAGCTACGAACGGAGGACGAACATGCCCGTCGAGAGAAAACCTTTCGAGGGCGACTTCTTGTTCGTCAACCACAATGCAAAGCAGATGAAAGCTTCACCGAACCGGCGACAGGTCTTTTCCCACGTCCAGAACCAATATCGCAACTGGAAGCGGCAGCAGGAGAATCGGGCTCTGAGGGCTTCGATCAAGGCGCTGCCTCACATACCTGATGCCCAGCCATCGGCGTCGACATCGACATCGACATCGTCAGAAGTTCCTATGCTTGATGTTCGGCATACCTCAACTGTCAAGAGCGCTGAGCATGCGCAATGGCCAGAGCCAGTAGACTACGATGTTGGAAACCAGCAGAGAACCTCAACTAAGATTGCGATCCGCTCGCTGATCAACGATAATGACGACGACAATGACATGGATTGCCAGCAGCAGCAGTGTGAGCACCTCCCAGAGCGGGCGGAGCAACTGGTGGCAATTTACAACGAGGCGGACATCAAGCCACTCCAACGGCAATCACTGATGACCATCCTCGGCAAAGGAAACTCAGACCCCTTTGGAGCCTATGCCGTCGATATCACCCCTGCTGCTAACGACTTGCTGAGCTTCCACCGCGACTTTGTCATCCCAGCCCTCTACCACACCACCAAGCACCGGTGGATGACCAGTGCCAGTGCGTGGCGGGACTGGCGAGACTGCATCGACGGACTGGGCGACGGGGTCGATGGCCTCGGGGATGAAGGCGCCGGGTCTGGGTTCATCGCCAGCTGCGCCGCCGAGGCCGCGGTGATATCGCTGAACCCGTCTGTCCGGAAGCAAGCCGCCTACTACCGGGCGAAGAGTATAGCGGTGCTGCACAAACGCCTCATGACCGGCCGATTCAACCGCCGCCAGCTCTACTGGCATATCAATCTGCTTATAGGTACCGACACACTGATGGGGGACCCCGTCAGCACCGCCGCCCACCTCAACATGCTGCGGTGGTACTTTGAACACGACGACCCGAAGAAGCCCGTCGACACGGACCTCCTGGTGTACGTTCTCTACCACGACGTCCACCGGTCGTCCATGTTCCTGTGCAAACCCATCTTCGACGTGGACAACTGGCTCCCGCAGAGGCTGCAGCCCGTGATCGACGCAGCGGGCCCTTACCTCCCCCCGAATCTGTCGGATGTGAGAAACCGTTTTCTCGACCCGTCGGTCGACAATCCCCGACTGCGCACATTACTGATCGAGCGGCGTGAGAGCCTTGCGGTGTGGCTGTTCCAGAACGGCTCAGGCCCGGGCACCACCGACGAGGACTCATCCGCCAGCCACACCACCACGGCGCTCATGGGCTGGCTGCTCGTGCGCGTATACTTGCACCAGGGCCAATTGGTGAACCTCTTCTTGCAGGCAAAGGAGGCAATAGATGTACGGGATACGAATATCTCGGAGACTCCACGGTCCGTCAACTCGGTCTTGTGCCGGGGCTACATCGCCCTGGCCACGCTGCTGTACATCCGCGCCATCTCGTTCAACGGGACCGTCTGCGGTGTGCGCCTCTTCGACGCCACGCCTACCATCCTGGCCAACATGCGAGAGTTGCTCCAGCTCAGCGAGCGGTCGCCTGACACCGTGCCCGACCACGAAAAGTACGAGAACGCCCGTCTCTGGGCACTCTACGTGGGCGCCACTGCCGAATCGTCCATGGACACGGACACGAAACTCGAGGAAGAGGAGACGCCGCGCGCTGCCTGGTTCACCACGCACTTCGCCGCAAAGGCCATACGACTAGGCCTAGTCCAATGGGACGACGTGAGGAATGTACTCACCGGGTTCCTGTACACGGACACGATGCATCCGGACGGGATGGAGTGGTTTTCCAGGGTTCTGCAGAGCACGGCGAGGACCAATTGACGTGTCAGGTGTCTAGGGCTCACGACCTAAGTCACGGAATAGTACCCGGAAGTGAAGACCTGTAGTAGGTCATGCATGACTATTGCGGCTGAGCTGATACATACAGAGGAGAGACAGGGTCGGGGTTACACATGTTGGGCCGTCCAAAGCAATGTAATGACTGCCACGCTATCATAGGCTCTCGGAGGTAGTGGATGCCTACCTAGCGAGGGTGCGAGGTTAGATAATACCCACGTACCCACGTTATCTAATTAGTATATATAGTACCGAGTATTCGGATCTGAAGGCAAACGACTCTCTACCAGGGAGACGAATTCCAAACGATGCTATATGGGTCCAAGGCCGTGTCCCCTCGGTACTGAACCTCATGGCAGCATCCTCGCTGTTAGTCGGAGGGTTGCACTGCATAGCATGGTCGTTGGAGTTCCCGACCCAAATAGAGCGTCTTTGCTGGAGAATTGCCGCCATCACATCAGCCATCGTACCCGTCATCACTCTAGCTTTCAGCATCTTTCACAAACTACGTCGCAACGATTCATACTTACAGAAGGTGTGTGCTTCCAAGTTCATTGGATGCATTGATGCCGTCGGATTCCCTAAAGAGTGGTGGGAGAAGTACAAGGGAACATTGACTGGCCTCGGCGGCAGGATGGAAAACCAGTCTGCCATTGTGTACACTGAATCATCCAGAGAGGTCCGGTAAGGAGGAGCTGTTCGCAATACAGGCGTTATGGAGTCATTTATCGCACTTCAGAGAAATGTGGGAGCAGATGAATGCATGGCCTGGAGTTTAAAGCGGATGTTGACGGCGCAGAAACACGAGCATCTGTAATGATATAGTGTCACCATAGCACTACTTCTCTCTGCGTTTCCTCTTCGTGACTGCCTCTTCGTGGCGCTTCAGAGCGAGGTTTGGAGACGTTGTTCACCCGTTCCTTTTCGCGCCGGCACGTTGTCTGCACGGTAGATCGCGGTAGGCCGTGCCGGTCTGCGATGAACTTGTACGAGTAGCCGAGACTGCGGAGTTCACAGATCTGGAACGCAGTTGAGGTGTTAGTTCGCAACGAGGAGGCATCGTGATGTCTGAGTGGTAGTTCGGGAGTTGTTGAATGGAATTGGTAGAAAAGAATACCGAGCGAGCTAGGTAGGACGCGAGACTGTACCCGCGTACTCGGCGAGTCGGTACTAGGAGGGGGTGTTGTTGTCTTCGATTGGGGGAAGGTCAGCCGCGATGCGGGCTTGCGCTCGCTCTGCTCAGAAAGTGGATTTGCGCATCGTAGAGCTCGCAGATCCAAACATCTGCCCTTCTTCTTCACCAGGCTTGGATATTTGGTTGCAACTTTGATCCAGGAAGTTCGCAGAAGTCCCGAGGCGGCCGGCTTGAGATGCGACCAGGCTGCAGATAATACGTACAGAACTTTCAGTCAACAGGTGCACAGTACATACGGAACACAGACTACTGAGCGTACACTGTTCCCTCTGGCTATGCCTTTGTTGGTTATATACCCTTTTATTATCTGTTGCATACTTTCCTAGACTTCTGTCAGCTCCAAAGGACCGATCACTGCCAGGAGATAAGTTCCCTGCGCAAGTACCTTTCCGACACTCTCGACCTATCGAGTTTCACCCAAACCCAACGAACCTCTATCCCTCACGATGTCGCGCTCGCCGACCCCCCAACCTGCAAAAACGACGGTGGATCGGCAATCCACTACGCCTTTCCTGCTGAACTTTTGCTACCGATCCTCCGCCTTTCACAGCCTGACCGACTTCCCTATCCCGACCCCTTCAAACCCACATCCTCACCTACCTGCCCATCTGCAAATCTACACGTGGATGAGCTGTACTTTGAGAGAACTCGCGCTCCTGTTAACGCAGGCCCTGCCGCAAATTTTACCCGACCCGGCCGTGGGGACGAGGTTGAGCTTCAGACTGGTCTACCCGGACGTCCACGCCAGTCGAGGTGGTGGCGGGAGACTAGAAAGCGAAGGGAGAGGAAGATACTTGAGCAAAGAGATAGGCAGTGTGGTGGTCTCAGCGCCAGAATATTCCAATGGTGGTGGTGACGGGCGTCGCGGTGGCGGCAGCGCTGTCCAGCTTGAGGGAGATGATGCAGACAAGACGCTGGAAGATGCACGGTTCGTCATAGGAGACTTTATCGATTGTGCCGTCTTTCCTCCACTGAGCGATGGCACCGTGGTGTCTCGGGGAAGCGTCAGCGGCAGAGGAGGCTCCAGAGAGAATGGCTACGGAAGAGTACGAGGCGGGTACGGCCAGAGCAGCAGGGGCAGCTTTAACGGCTACGGATCAAGAGGTGACTTTTCCGGCTCAGGGCATATACCAAGCGGTGAGTGGAGGCGAGGAGAACGGCTTCCTGACTCTGGTGGCTACCGAGGCGGAAGGGGTGCTAGGAGAGGCTATTGAAGCTGAAACCAGTCTTCAACCAGAAGGATATTGATCGGTTGACATGGGCGAACTATCGCCCATTGCAAACTGGCCCGCTACAGAGGAACAAAACACCTCTTGAGGATGCTCTTGGGAAGGTGTCTCGATTGCCAAAATCTCGGCTGCATGACTGACACAAAGTACCAACGCTCCAACAAACGGCGGACTGGTGTGATGGAGCATTTTTAGTCATGTGAAGACACCAAATTTCCACGCGGTGTGTTGCAGGCAAGGTACCTTCCTCAAGGTACTCGGTGTGTCCCACAGGCAGGAAATGTTTCCTCTTGAGGAGATACAGCCATCTCAATCGGTCCTCAAAAGAAGAAAGTGAGGCTCCGGATGCAGGTATCAGCCTTCCGGGACTGCGGTGAAAGAGCTGGGCTTGTTGCGTCAAGGTCTAGAACAATGAGGGCTGAGAGACTTGCCCACTCGGAAGATGAGCGAGCACGCAAGCTACGGTGAGATAGCCTCGTAGGAACAGCAAGAATGGAGCTCTCGCAATCTGCTACTCGTATCTCTTTCACCGCCATCTTGGGCACAAATCCTCACGTGGTCACGTTGATACGCTCTTGACAAGGAGAAAAAGGAATGGGATGGGGATGACGTAGCCGCGGACCAATGGTTGAGCTGTTGAACCAGCAGGACATGCTGCCGCTCACCCAGGTACCACCAAAAGCCTATAGGAGCCTAAAGCTCTTAGCCCTCCAAGCCCGAAAGCCACCTGGGCCGCCAGAACCACACCCCCCAACTTTCCGGAGCTTTTGAGTGGCTGTGGCGTCTTCCCCAGCTTCGAACACGCCCCCACCATTCACCGTCCGGCGCCAATCGCTGCCCACCGGTGCCCGATCTCTCATGAGCATGTCTTCCCATAAACAAAAAACTTATCAGGGTGTCACATCCCACCCTGCACTCTGACGTTCCTCCCAGTCTTAAACACCACCACCGTATCTCTTTACTGCAAATTTCTTCTTTCGTCCTCACTTATAGACTTCATCTTCATCTGTCTCCTTTCGTTATTCTAGACTCAACACTCAACTACTTACCACAACGTCAACATGGGCAAAGTAAGTTCATGTCTCACCGACTCGTCTACCCTCCCTTACCCCTCCATCTCTGAAACAGGGCGGTTTACCGCTGGTTTCCTTGCCACCGCACCACAAAACAAAGCCTGTCATCAAAAACTGACTAGATACCTCGTTATAGGTCAAGTACATCCTCCTCGACTGCGACAATACTCTCTGCTTGTCCGAGCGCCTTGCGTTTGAGGCCTGCACCGATCTCACCAATGAACTCCTCGAGCTGTACGGCGTCAAAGAACGCTACACGGTCGAGGGCCTCCTCGAAGCCTTTGTCGGTCAGAACTTTCGTGGTATGATGGTTGGTCTCCAGAAGAAGCATGGCTTTGAGATGCCCCCAGACCAGTTGGAGGAATACGTCAACAAGGAACTTGGAGCCGTCACCGCCAAACTCGCTGCCAAGTGTCAACCATGCACTGGTGCCCCTGAGGAGTTGGAGCGTCTGCACAAGGCCGGGTACCCAATGTCGGTTGTCAGCACCTCTGCCAAACCCCGTGTCGTCGCTTCTCTCGAGAAGGTCGGCATCGACCACTATTTCCCCAACGCCCACGTCTACAGCGCTGCCACCTCGCTCAACCCGCCTTCCAGCAAGCCTGACCCCAAGATCTACCTCTATGCTTGCGAACAACTCGGTGTCAAGCCAGAGGAGTGCATCACCGTCGAAGACAGCAAGAGTGGTGCTACCGCTGCCATGCGCGCTGGCATTCCCTGCATTGGCTACGTCGGCGTCTACAAGCTGGAGGATGGTGAGGAGAAGATGAAGCAGATGGCCCAGATTCTCAAGGAACAGTGCAACTGCGTCGAGATCATGTACGAATGGAAGGAATTCCCCAAGATTTTGGAGAAGATCGAGAGCGGCAACTGAATTTGACCTCCTTTGTCGATTCTGGATGAACCGTCACGACCACCACCGGGTGATGAGACGATGAAAACGGAGCATGCGGATACTGTAAACGACCTTGCAAAAAAGAATTGAGCCCAGAGTGAGGAAAGGATAGACAGAGAGGAAAGCGGCCTTTGCGCGACACGTTCTTAGCTAGTCCGCCCTAGTGGAGGTCAGCTCCTCAAGACATCTGACCTAGACGCCCTCGTTTGGCCTGGAATAGAAAATGGGCTTCTTGATACAAGAAAATGATGACATAGATTGGGTTCATGTGTTTTCCGACATTCGGATCTTCTCAACTAACCGTCCGACCATCTCCCTCATCACGTGCTTCTCTCCTGAGTAATCCATATCGAACCAGTAGTTGACGGCTATACAGGGCGCCGTCGTCGGGCATCCGTCGTCACTCTCCCAGAGCCCGCATTCCTGGGTGACGTGGTGGAACCATCCCGCTGGGAGGTAGAGGATTTCGCCCTCCGAGACGGTGACAGTGAGAGGTCGCGTGTATTTATAGTATGGGTATTTCTGGGACGCGGCGGCAGACGGGGGTTTGAGCGGATCGATGGGGATCCAGGGGATACGGTTCATGTCTGCGTCGCCGCCGCTGTTGGGGTCTGGGGCGGTGGCGGTGGTGGTGGTATTGTCGTCGTCGTCATCGTCGTCCATGAGAATCGTAAACTCCGTTTCCTTTTTCTGCCGTTGTGAATCCGACAACGCCCACCGCCCCGTCCGGACTTTCTGGGCGTGTAGACACACCTCCTCGACGGGGTTGTACAGCACGAACCGCTTGCGGCCCTTGACCACCACGTAGAGATTCTCGTACGGGTCGCGGTGCGTGCTGGTCACGGACAGCGCATTGCCGATCCAGATGTTGACGGCCTCGGGGTCGCCGAGCACGGCGGCGCTGAAGGGCGGTGGTGTCGGTGGGAGAGAACCCAGAAGGGAGGATAGCGGTGGGGTGTGCAGGTTGGAATTCTGGGATTGGAGGTAGTGGACTGGTTCTGTTGTCGTTGTTGCTGTGGCTGTGGATGCAGATGTGGATGTGGATTGGTATTGGGGCGGGGCTGAAGGGGAGCGAGGCGAGCGAGGAAGATGTGATGAAGATTGTGATGGCTCTAATGGAGGACAGAGCTTGTCAATCAGTGTGGAAAGCGTCATGTACGTCGAGGCTGGTTGGAGGAAGACTTGTTCTGGTTCATCCCCATCCGCTTCTCGTTGAGGGTGAGACTGAGACTGAGTCCTCGTCCTCCGAGGAAGAGAGTAGAGCGCATCTGCCCTCCCGTCCGGCGTCACAGCGACCTCGACCTCGCCCTGTACAAGCTCGCAGAGACTCTTCTTCGCCCACGAAAAGCACGGCGCCGAAAGAATGGACCGCTGCTCTTCTCGCAGGCGTTGACGTTGGATGCTCTTCTCTGTTTTTCGCGGCGACGAAACCTTTGCGATCTCACCTCCGCTGTTGTCGTTGCCGTAGCTTCCATCCTCGACTTGACTCCCTCCACTCACCGCGCGATCGTCGAGGACGCTGCTGTCAAGCCGATATACGCACGGTCGCCCGCGGGCTACCTGTTGGCTGAATTCGAGGTGTGTTGGGTATTCATAAGTCGGGACTGTGGTGTCTGGATTGAATGAGTGGTAGTCCTCGATCAGAGTGAGGAGGGTTTCAATAGCAAAGTCCTTTGCGCTGCCACCACCGCTGCTGTTCGCAGTCGTCATCGCTTCAAGTCGACGGCGAGGCCTTCCTCTGGTGGCATGTCCATGAAATTTTTGATTGGTAAGAAATCGTCAACGAAGGCTTCTCACGTTCTGTCAAGCCCGAGACTTGGATCCAACGACCCTTTTCTCCATCTATGAGAATGCCGCTGTATCATACGAAGTTCTTCAATTCTGTGATCTGAGCCCCCGACCTCGAATGCAGCTTTGTCAATGCCATTGCTGAAAGAAGACCACGTCAACAGACCCAGGTCGACGAAACTCGATTTCTGCCGAAGTCTCTCCGAACACAACAGCCTATGCCGCTGATGCAAAATCCACTCCACTCGCCCAGAATGCAATTCTATCTCTTAATCTCCAAGTCCCGTCAAAACTCTCGTTGCCCCACGTCTTCCGCAATGAGCTGCTGCATCTTCCAACACTCGTGGGGTCGACTCGTTGACCATGTGGAGAAGGAGGTGGTGTTCAAAAAACCAAGAGAGAAGCAGGCTGAGAACACACACTTAAAGCCTCGGGTACAACTTTGACTACGAAGGCCTGAGAAGTCTTCTCTGTACTTCTCGACCTCAACACGTCCGCGAAACTCGTTGATGACGACTAGTCCTGGCTTGGGCATCACAACCCTTCCCCTACATCGAGGTCTCCAGCTGCATAACGTCGTCTTAGAGACAAAGGGGGTTTCGACAGGAGAGTGTTTTCAGACCAGCTATGGCATCTCAACATGTTGATTCCTCGTCAACTTACCCAGTCGCCATCATTGGAGGCGGCCCGACTGGTTTATCCGCCTCAATCCTGCTATCGCAAAGCAACATCCCCCATATCCTTTTCGAACGATATCCTTCGACATCCATCCACCCAAAAGCATGTGGCTATAATCACCGCACAGTGGAGATTTGGCGTCGCATGGGAATCGAAGAGGAGCTGATCAAGCGACGAGCCCCATCAGACAATGTCAGCAGAACAGCCTGGTATACCAGCTTTGGACCTCACGGGAGGGAAATCATTGGCCGTGACTCCTGGGGCGGCGGAGCATACCAAGAAGAATACGCCTCTGCCTCGCCTTGCCAGTATTCAATATTGCCACAAATCAGACTCGAACCGATATTGCAGAAAAAGGCGTTGGAACTGAACCCCAAAGGAATCTTCTACACTACCGAAGTTCAAAAGGTTGAGGAAGCTGATGATAGTGTCGTTGTCACGTATCTACAGAGAGGCCTAGCACCGATGACGGTCAAAGCACAATATGTTATTAGTGCCGACGGTGGCCGCATGGTGACAGATCACCTGGGGATAGGCTGGGAGGGCGAGCGGGATATTGTTGATATGGTATCTGCTCACGTTCGAGCTCCTATATCTCTCGCACACCCTGATATCCGCAACTTCATCACCTGGTTCGTCAACCCAAAGCTGGGTGGCACCATTGGTTCAGGATACCTTTACCACTTAGGCCCCTATCCCATGACGCCTGACACAGAGGAATGGGTCTTCGCATGTGCTCTTAGCCCGACAGATCCAAAACGTCTCGATGAGTCGGCAATGTTGAAGCGCATGCAAAATACGTTGCAGATTCCTGACCTCAAAGTTGAGCTACTGTCCACAAACCACTGGTACGTGAACGCGCTATGTGCTACACGATATCGCAGCAAGAAATCCACAGGCCGAGTATTTCTGGTCGGGGATGCCGCGCACCGCATTCCTCCTTGGGGGGCGTTGGGACTTAACACGGGCATTCAAGACGTGGATAATCTGGTGTGGAAGCTGAATTTCGCCATCAACGGAATTCCGTCAGCCATCGGGGTGGAGAGTGACTGCAACGCACTTCTCGATACGTACGACACCGAGCGTCGACCGATTGGTCAACGTGTGCGAGACCGCGCGTTGCATAACCTACAGGCTTTCGGCCTAGTCATGGACAAAGCCATCGGCGTCTCTGCTGCAAATAGCCAAAGCGAAAATGTTGCAAATATGGATTCGTTCTTTGATTTGTCGCCAGAAAATACCGACGGCGCAATGCGCCGAGAAGCAGTCCAGGACGCGCAGAAGATCCTTGACAACGAATTCCACGCCCTGGGAGCCGAGATTGGCTGGTTCTATCCCGACATCGATGTCGGCGGGGAAGGCAAAGAGAGTAACCACGGCGGACAGCTCACGGACACTGGCGAGATGGATTTATTGTTTTACCATCCCTCGACAATCCCGGGACATCACCTGCCACACGCGTGGTTGGCCAAGGGGAAAGAGAGGTTGTCAATTAGAGATTTAGTCAAGTACGACAGATTCATCCTTATTACCTCAAGGCCGGAGTTGTGGAGACTGGCTGTGGAAGAATTGAATGGATTGGTGACCTTGATTGGCATCTCAGATACGAGCGAAGTGGCAGATGATAAGACTTTCTGGAAGGGTATAGATGGGAAATGGGCCTCTCAACGTGGTGTTGGTAGCTCTGGCGCAGTGCTGGTTCGTCCTGACGGGATAGTTGTCTGGCGGGCGCAAGAATTCGATCAGGACAGCCACGGTAAGATTGGATGGCTGCGAGATGTCCTGCGCAAGGCTTTCTGCGTTGATAACTCACCTTCATAGATGAGGCTGGGTGCCTAAATTACCCCGCATGACGCTACCAGAGCTCTTGATCTTGCTGACAATAGAGCTGTTCTATGCCTGACAAATCTCTCTGCAGTTGACCACTTCCCGAAGCAAAGTCCTCGATCACACTCAGTTACCAGCAACAGACATGCAACTCGTCAATTATGCAGCCTGGATTCCCTCTGAGAATGCCCATCTTGTAGTCGCCACGGCACCTTTTCCGGATCTCTCGCCCGATGAGCTCATCATCACGAATCGCGCCGTAGCTGTCAACCCGGTCGACTGGAAGATCCAGGCGTCGGGCGGCTTCGGTCTCCAGTACCCGGGGATTCTGGGAGAAGACATCGCTGGTGAAGTCCTGGAGGTGGGTAAGAATGTGAAGCGGTTCAAAAAAGGCGATCGCGTCATTGCCCACGCGCTGGGACTCGGGAACGGGAGTGCCTATGGCGGGTTTCAACTCTATCCACGGGCCAAGGTTGAGACGGTCGCAAAGATTCCTTCCAGTATAGGGTTCCAGACCGGAGTGGTGCTGCCGTTGAGTGTCTCGACAGCAGCGGCTGGGCTGTACCTGAAAGGGACGCTGGGGCTGAAGTATCCCAAGGTTGCGAACACATTGGCAAATCAGACGTCGACACTGGAGAGGAAGAATACGTCTGATAGTGCGGGAGAAAGGACCAAGAAGAATGCCATTCTCCTCCTCTGGGGCGGGTCATCATCGGTCGGCTCGTCGGTCATCCAACTTGCTGTGGCTTCTGGCTATAACGTCGTCACCACGGCCTCGCCAGCAAATTACTCCTATTGCAAAGACCTCGGAGCCTCACTCGTGCTCGACTACCACAACCCCGATGTCGTGCCGATACTTGTATCGTTGCTCAAAGAACATGGGGTGCCTGTCGTTGGCGCTTATGACGCCATCGGAACTGACGCGACTGTCCGACAATGCGCGGCGGTGCTGCACGGTCTAGGTGGTGGTACGGTAGCGAGCGTGGTATCTACACCTTCAGATCTCCCTAAAGATGTCAAAGCCGTGAGAATTTCGAGCACCGACGTCGTAGGCCAGGAGGGGGGTGCCGTGGCAAAGACCATCTGGGGAGAATATGTGCCCTCGGCCTTGCAGAGAGGGTCATTCAAGGCGGCGCCTTCAGAGCTCGTGGTGGGACATGGGCTGTACTCTGTCCAAGGTGGCCTTGACAAGCAGAAGAGCGGGGTGAGCGCGCAGAAGGTTGTTATAACGCTATGAGTGAAAGGCAGAAGTCGAGCATCTGCTGGCACGTGGCTGCTTCGGTGCGACATGCTGTTTTGGATGTAACCACCGATGCCTAACCTCATTTAAACGGGGGCTAGCGACAAATTAGGAACAATAGCCGGAGGCGGGGAAAGCGGGGCAAGCGAACTCCCTCCGTCACGATTGTCTCAAAAGGGCAGCCACGAGGCACCTATTCTTACCAAGCGAGGTTCAGGGCAAACTTGAGGGCATTCTGCCTGGCTGAAAGCAACAAAGTTCAAAGCTGTGTGGGAAAATGCGGAAATAACAGATTCTCCGAGTCCCAAAGTTAGCCTGTTCTAGGCCCCAGGACGAAGCCGATCATTTGTGCCGGTGGTTTGCCTGCGCCCTCTTTGTTTCAGCTGCAGTGCACGTCACCATTCAGACTTGCGCCCTTCCTCCAATTGAGCGGATCCCCCAGGAAAGGAAGTAACGACACGAGGCGCCAAGGGTCCTGCAGCAGGAAGGATGCCCTGAGGCGACTCGCGCCTGACTAGAATAGGACAGGCGTGCCTCGTGACCACCAGCTCAGATGCTCGATATGAACGTGGACATCCCGTCTGGCGTTGCATTACCAACCTCATCCCAAGGGAGCCGATTTCTTGGTCCATTTCTTATACCATTTGCTTCTGCAGCACACCTAATCTCGACCATCATATATCTTGGAATCCGAGTACTATTCTTTGGTTGCCGAAATCAATACCTTTGCCTCGTGAAGTTGAACATCCGCCCGACAGTGCAACGACCTCTCGCGACTCTAGACCATGATAGTCCACATATCCAGAGGAATTGTATCTTCTGACCAGACCTGTCGATCGACTGTTAATCCATGCAACGGTTGTGGGCTCCAGATCCATCAGGGACCATCAATCCAGCAAAACTTACACAGCGCGCTGTGGGAGTCTCTCCGCTTATCCATGAGGATGTCGATGTCTTGTGTAACCCGCCTCCAATTGACGGGCAAGAAACGACAAACACTACAGGCCAAGATGATCTTATAGCCTCATCTACATTGCCTGCACCGTCAATACCTCGTCCGTCCATTCCCCTTCCTCGAATCTGCTCTGACTGGGAAGGCTATGACACTTTCCTGAGTGAAAGTGAAAGATACCAGGAGTACAGGCTAAGGTTTGAGGCCCTTTATATTCCCAAGAAACGCCCTTCTACTGCGAGGTCGAGACGAATCTCCCATCATGGCTATTTCCGCAGTCAGACGTGGCGTGGGAAAAGGTTACACATACCCCGGGATCCCAAGGCAGGCTTCGACGCGACGGTCGTGATAGATCGGGGTAGAATGTCTATTTATGACGTTTACCTTCTGCGAGTCGACATCATGAAGAACATCAACTCCTTCCGAAGACACCAGGTATGTCAAGGCGCAAAGGCATTGTCTTGACGGAGGCAGGCTGGCTTATGAATGTGTCACTGGATAGGTCGTATACTACCCGGAAACTGAAACATACGCCTTCTACACTCGTGAAGGTCGCGTTGGACTCGAGGGGCGCGGAAGAGTCGAAATTGAATCTAACTGCTTCACCACTGTCGCTGACAGATTTCGCAAGTCTTTTCATGACGAAACGCACTCGAATTGGACCAGAAGGTACGAAGCTCTGTTGAGATGCTACCGGAAATATGCTTTCGTTGAGCTCGATTACCACAAGACCTCGGCCTCTCTTTTGGAACTCCCCGCGTACACGACGATCAACGCGAAGGTCAACGAGGAGGTCAAGGATTTGATGGAGTACATACTCTTTGGAGGCCCCGCGAGCAGTCGAACCACCAGCAGCGAGAACCCAAGCGCGTCTAGATCATGGCTAGCATTTACGGCTCCGTACGAGCAGCTCAGTTCGTGGGCAGTCTTCTCAGCATTCAAGACTTTAGAGTATATCCGTAAGCACATCGAGTCCGGCAATGCCATCAACTGGATGACCATACTCAGGCTCTCGTCGCTGTACCGCAGTCAGATTCCGTTCTGCTGCGCTGAGGACCGCCCCCCAGTGATCTCAAGCTACCACGCGCTCTTCCTCGAGGCGAAATTTCTGTACTGCCTGTGGCCGCAACAGGAGATCGCTGCCATGGCGAAGGCAATGCACTGCCGGGGATCCCTGCAATTGGATACGCACAGGACTCTTGCCCAACCTCTGTACCAGGCTTATAGCTCTCTGCGGCACGGGTTCCGCCGCCTGACGGACTCGTCAACCACGGAGTTCCGTCAGCTAAGAAACTATCTGGAGAGATCGTGCCACCATATTCACTGCTTGAACGTGGAGCTAGAGGACATATACAGGCTGTTCGTGAAAGCCCAGCTGCCGAACCCGTACCGCGACTGGATTGAGAGCAAGCAGACCGTCCCTGATCCATCCGGTGCTGAATTGCGGGTGCTACTGTGGCACGGCACGGCGCTGGACTCGCTGCTCGGCATCCTGGAGCTGGGTCTGCAAGTCCGCCGCCCGGGAGCTACATGGACGGGCACCATGTTTGGCAATGCCATCTACCTGGCCGACGCGTCGAGCAAGTCTGCTGGCTTCTGCAAGTCTGACGCCTGGGGTGGCCAGGGTATCCTACTCCTTTGCGAGGCTGACATCGGTGGGGGGCTCATCCGCTCGACGACCAGCATCTACAACGGTCACGAGATCATCAATCAATCTGGTGGTCGATACCGCTGCATCCAGGGGCTCGGCCGCACCGGTCCGTCCAGATGGAGGGAGGTTGATTGGGAGTTGGACCCGCCCTTGAGTGGCCGCGTGCCCTTGATTGTACGTGGCTGCTCTGTTTCGTAATAATGGTGCATCCTCGCAGGTCTAGAGACTACTGCAGGACACGATGGGCTTACTGACTTTGTACACTAACACCTCTGTAGCCCGAAACGAGAATTCCCTATGGTCACACCCACTCTCGAGGCATCTTGGGATTCAACGAGTATGCTCTTTACGATCCGTCGCACGTGCTGTTGCGGTACCTGTTCCGAGTCAAGATTAAGCGACGATTTCACTAGCAGCTCCTTCTCCGGGGAAGACCTGGACGATTGTTGTTATTGTTGACAACTTGAACGAGTGGCATTAGACGTCTTATGGAGGCCTTGTGTTCAGTAGGCGAGTTTCAGGTCTTGTCTGAGTGTTCTGGACTCTTTTGGGGTGGTGATCGATCAAGTGACTGGTTTCATCTTACTGGTGTCCTCAAAACGTGTGGGATCGTTCTGGACGGAATAGGGCTTTACAGTACCTTAGTGCTTTGACGGAGGTGTACGGTTTTGGTTCAACGGTCCAAGGGGTCATGACTGGTAGGCGGTAGGTTATTTTTTAATTGATGCTGTTCCCTAAAAAAGGGGTTACAATATAGTACATTGAACGCACAAAAACGATCGAGGCTATGCTATGAATTATATATCTAGGCTGTCTCGTAGAAGAGGTTAGATCAATCGCCTCACTCATTCCACCGGTTGACCATGTAAATATGTCTACAACATCGCCGGGTCAGCAAGTCAGCGAGTTCGTAACTCGGTGATACCATGATACCATGATATCCATTACCCAGTCTCCTCTCCCGACATCTTGTATTTGACCATATGACCACACGAGCCATACGAGCCATATGAGCCTTTTGTGCCATATATATCCAAGTCAAGAGCCACACCTCTTCTTTTTACCCTGTCCCCTATATGGGTTCGTTTGCTCCGGGCCCTAGGCTCTAGGCGATCATCGCCTTTTGTCTTTGTCGTTCCCATAATCCGCTGCAGTTGCTGGGGCCGTTGCCGTGTTTACCATATGCCTCTGGTGCTGGTGCGGGTGCTGGTTCATATCTGCCTCTGCCTCTGCCTCTGATCCAGCCTCTGCCTTTATCTCTGTCGCTGTCTCTGAATCTGCCTCTGGTTTCGGGTTTCGGGTTTCTGGTCTATCGTCTATAATCAACCAAGGTCAGGTTGATTTTTAGGGCTAACTTTTGATCCGGAACTGGAATTGGATTTGTGGTTCGGTTCGATTCAGTTCCATTAATTCGATTTGTGCTGGGTAGCTGGTCGTGGTGGTTGCATACATTGGGATGACCGTCGGAGGGCGTGTGAGTAGGCTCCGAGCGCGGTGGATTCGCCGGAAGAATATGTCATGTCATGTCTTGATATGTCATGCCATATTACGTCGTATCGTTCCAGATCATATCATATCATGTTAGGCTGGGGCGGGATGAGATGTGACGGGACGAGACTGAACTACCACACACACTCTCGACTCGATCCGGCTCGAATCAACTCGAGTGAACTCGCTCTTCTGACTCCGTTGACACCGTCCCATCCCACACGTCTCCTCCAGACGCTACCCCAGCAGCGCCTACCTCAGTCGCTGATTGCCCAGCGCTTCGACGATATTCCTCTCGCGCACCTCGCGCATATAGCGCCTTTGGTCGTCGGACGGAGTGAACGGATCGGCGACGTCTGGTCGCTTGATCAGGAGGCGGTGAACCACGAAGCCCATGGTGACGAGGGCAGCGGCGCTGGCGATGCAGATGGCGACGATGCCTTGGTAGGAGATCATCCTGTTCTCTCTCCGCTATGGATCTGGATCGAGGGAGAGAGGAGGGTTGAGGGGGAGGAGGGGAATGGAGAGGGATCGGTCGATTGATTGATCGATAAAGATTTTGGAAGATCGTAAAAACACAGATAGAGGGCGATGTACTTGTAAGCAAGTGGACAAGTATAAGTAGGAACGGCGAGGGACAGAGCAGTGAGAAAGATGCTGTATGATTGTTGTCGCTCGGCCCCCTTCACTCATTCACTCGACGGTTCGAATTCAAAGGGTAATCCTCTGGTCCGTTCTTTTCTCTTCTTACTGTTATATACTTTTCCAAGCAGAGTTCCTTTATATTGCGCACGCTGGGAGAATGCTCTCGTGCCCCAAGTCATGGATGGGTCTGGTTGTGTGCTGTGACTGGTCAGCTCGGGTTGTGGAGACAGTTGAGGAGCCTCTCAGTGGGTCCGCGGTTCCAGACAGAGAGAAAGGAGAGGCGCGCCATTGGATCCCTTCGAGACATTCAATCTTCTTCGTCTGAGGAAAGGCTTGTTCCCACGAGTCAGGTTGGGGCCAGGCCTCCATCCCGCAATCATTGGTGTGCTCGGGTTGTGGGGAGCTTGACAAGGCCAGAGAATCTTTGTCTCGTTACTTGATGTTTGGCCCATGCGTCGTCACCGACTGCTTTGGTCCGGCCGAAGTTGCAGTCGAGTTGCTTGCGCGAGTTTCCAGAAAGGGACGTTTCGAGGCCTCTTTATGGCAACATCCCCTGCATGTTGGCATAGTATAGGTTTCACTTCGGCTCCCACAGCGGAGAATTCGCTGACAAACTCTCGTTCTCAACCTGGCGAACTCCAGCTCCAGTGCACGTTTTCTTCTCCAGAACGCCCTTCATTTTTCAGTTGAAGTGATGTCTCCGCCTGGTGGCATAGCGCTGTCTCACCAGCAAATACGCCGTGTGGAGGATTGCAACAAGTACAAGAGAACGAACGGACAATTCCCTTCACACCCTCACCAAGTGGTCGACCAACGACCAGACATGGTGCTCGTCTTGCTCCCATTTTTGGACCTGGTGGAATTTTGACGCCCGTCCGTCAGAGTCTGGAAGCTCAATGACTTGACTCCAATGCACTCGATGATTCTCGGGCGGGAGCTCGATATCCGGAGGTTCTGGACAGAAGACCCCGTGAATACTGCCTGATTCCTCGATCCCGACCGACCATTCGGCAATGTCGGCCATTGCGTCGGCTCTCCAAGTATTTTCCACACGAGTCCCATTTCGAAGCAACGCGATTGCCTGTCGCCGAATGACCGGGTGTCGACACTTGACTCCGACCGCAAACAGCGAAGGGATGACTCGCGTCTCAAACATGAAAACGGGCCGCAGCTCGTCGACCCGGGGAGTGACGATGCGACTGGCGTGGTCGACCATGGTCTGGAAGATGGGGAAAAATTTGTCAAAATCCGTTTCATACATGCTCAACCCCGTGCACACCAAGATGAAATAATAGCTGTACACCACATGGAGCAGCGAATAAGGCTCTACTTCGTGTTGGAGAGGTGGTCTGCTGGGACACCGGAACCTCTCTTCAAAAGCCGTGTGCCACTTGAGAAAGTCCGTTCGAAGTCGTTCCTGTCGGGTAACCAGATCCGAGGAGGGCGTCCAGTCTTTTGGTTTGCTGATTCTGATTTCCCTCGTGTCGACAATAAAATCGTGGGCGGCAAAGAGTAAGACGTAAAGTCCGTCTCGAGCATCCGCCAACGTCTCAAACACCATACGACCAAAAGCCCTTTTCCGGTCCAATGGTAGTCTTTGCGATGCAGACATATTTTGTAACAGGTCACCGACTGTACTATGGATTGAGCTCTCTGACTGTGTTGGCGCACAACTCGAATAGTTGGGTTCTGCTGCCGTTTCCAACATGGCGACTGCTCGTTGATAGAGTGCTATTGCCCCGGAAGAGTTGTTTTGCAGGCACTCTATGCAAATGTAGAGGATGCACGATATGACAGTGGTTGTTGATTGATGCGTGGCTCCTTTCAGTAGTGACCGTAGACGAGCAATTGACTTGCCGTACCACGTCAAAGCCCTATGATGTTCTGCATTTGCGACGTTGCTTGCCACTGTACATGTGTTGGATGACTGAAAGTGCTGGATCAGAGACGATAGAGAAATGACGGCGTCCCAGATTACCGGGTCTGAGTGACTGAGCTGAGGAAGAAGCTGGCTCCAGAAATGTTCGTCCACAGTCCGTGAACAATCAGGCACGACTCGCCGCACGAAGAATTCGAAAGATTGAACCTCGATTCTCTCAGACCCTACATATATTTGGGGTCTTTTAACTTGCACCACTGCACGATTTGCGCCTGGTGACCAGGTCTCCCAGGTCAACTTTGTGCCAGAGTGAAGATACCCATCGCATTTTCTCCCGGTAGTCAAGCATCTCTTGCAGGCGGGCCGCTCCTGGCCGCACTTTATTTTTCTGATTTTGCAGGTGATACATCCATCATGAGATTTCCTGCTCCCGAGCTGGCCTTGTCTTAGTCGTGATGTAGGCGGCGTCATGTTCAGAAGTTGGTCTCGTTTTGATAGACGGAGTATCGGCAATCAGGGAGAAAAAGTGGTCCATGAGGATAGCAATACACTGTACTCTGGGTCAAAAAACCCCCAAGCTAAGGAGGGTTTGCACCGCAGAGCGATCCACACATGGCAGTGCCATGGTAAGTCTCATTGATGAGAAAAATGGAAGTTGGATTTGACGTGATGGGGCCAGGAACCTCCCGCTGCTTTTGGAAGATTCTCAACTGGAGCCAAGACCCGGATGGAGTGGTGGACATTAAAGACCAGACAGCCCATATCGAATGAATTGCCGTCATAATGCGATAACTTCTCCGTCGAGTTCTTCTAGATCTTCAGACAGGGCTTGACTGTCGAGATGGGTCGTTGACCGCACCAGATGGGGGCTCTCACCGACACGAGGCTGCCGAACGACGAGGCTGAGCTGTTTCTCGTTCAGCCTTGCGATGGCCCATTTCCCCAAACTTCTGACCAGCTTCACTGGCCACCCAGTTAACAATGGTCACGGACCAACCTCTATGTTGGGATTGTCTTACTATATCAGTCCCACAGGGCCTCGTTCTGGCTACACCTCTGACCGTGGTTAATCCCTCACGCCTCCAACTCAAGCAAGTGCCGTCACTATTTAACCGAATGCCGGCGTTGCCGTATGGGGGAATCGGCGAAACTCCGCCCTCATGAAATCGCCGTGGCCTCCAATATTCGGCTGGATATAAAAGGGATCGTGAGCCTCTCGAAGCAAGCAGAGTCATTCACCTATGTGGGAAAAAAGGCTGGAATGAAATAAGTCAGCACTGGTCAGCAAATATCAACCTCTGTAGTCGATTCGAGCAATGGAGGACAATCTAGATCGCACGTTACTCCTTCCACCGCACACCGGCCCCAATGTCTTTCCCAATAGCCCCTTCTTCAGCAAGCTCCTGCGCCATGCACGGCGCGATCGTCTTGCCCTTCGAGATGTCGATCTGGGACTCGAGAAGACCTATACTGAAATCCTCTCCGATGTGCTGTCCTTCAGGTCTGTGGTCGAGCGGTCGCTGAGTGAGAAGACCATCAGCGCTATCGAAAGGGGTGACGAGGTCTACATTGGAGTGATGGCTGCCGGCGGTTATGAATTTACCGTTGCTGTGCTGACGATCCTCGCCCTTGGAGCCGCTGTGGTTCCTATAGGTAAGTCCGTGCGAATAAAATGCTGTTCTTTGCCTCCCTTGTCATATGCTATGCTACCATGTATCCGTAAAGAAAACTCCGACTGACTCGACACTATTGTAAGCTACCTCTGCACCCGTGGCTGAAGTCGCTTATTTCGTCACAAAATCACGACAAGCACTGCTTCTCGTGAGCGAAGAAGTCCTCCAGCATGGCCGAGACGTTCAGAATTATATCCATTCCGACGCAGGTGTCGATATCTCTATACTCCCCATTCTTTCCAACATTCCACAGTCTTCTGCGCTCTCTGCCTTTGACATGGTACTCTCTTCAACTCGGCGCTTGGACGACTACGCCCCTGGAGTGGTCATCTTCACCTCAGGCACGACGGGCCGGCCCAAAGGCGCTGTAATGCGCCGCTTGTACACGCACGAGAGCGCTCTAGCGATCGGAGAAGGCTACGACGTGTCGCACACGGACGTGCTCCTGCATGTCTTGCCAGTCCACCACACGACCGGCCTGCAGACCTCGTTCTTCGTCTTCCTCGTCGCGGGCGCTTGCATCGAATTCAAGCGCGGCTCGTTCGACCCGGACTGGGTGTGGAAACGGATGTTGCGGGGAGGACTGACCGTCTTGTCTGCGGTGCCGACCATCCTTTTGCGGCTGAAATGGCACTACGAAAAGCATATCGCCCCGCTGCCTCCGACAGAACGACAACAGTACGACGATGCGGCAAACACCTTCCGCGAGGTCATGTGCGGCTCCAGCGCGCTCCAGGACCCTGTGCAAGAGTTCTGGACCACATTGCGCCGAGGCCGACCCATCCTGACACGCTACGGGGCCACCGAATTCCCCGGGTGCCTGAAAGTGCCGTCTAACGCAGGCGATCTTCCTCCCGGGTGCGTGGGCCTGCCCGTGCCGGGCGTGGAATTAAAACTGTCCGAAGGCGACGAGGGCGAACTGCTCGTGCGTTCGCCGTACATGTTCTCCAAGTACCTGTTCGATACGGAGGCGACGCGCCAGGCGCACGACGCCGACGGCTTCTTCAAGACGGGCGACATCCTCCGCCGCGAGGGGCAGTATTACTTCGTCGTGGGCCGCGCCTCGGTCGACATCATCAAGTCCGGCGGCTACAAGATCTCGGCCATCGACGTTGAGAGGGCGTGCTTCAAGCTGCCCTACGTCAGCGAGGTGGCCGTGCTGGGCGTCGAGGACGACGAGTTTGGCCAGCGCGTCGCCGCTGTCGTCGCCCTCAAGACGCCGCCTTCGAACGCGGGCGCTGGAATCCCTCCTCCGAGTTTAACCATCGAGCGCCTCCGAGCAGACCTTCGCGGCGAATTGACCCCGTACAAGCTTCCCACCCTCCTACGAGTCGTGCAGGGCGAGATCCCCAAGGGCGGCACGGGCAAAGTACAGAAGAAAATCCTGGGGCCGCAGATGTTTCCGTCGGACTGGCGGACGCATGCGGACGTGCAGGTCTATGAGCCCAAGCGAGGCAGGGTGGCGAAGCTATGAACTGTCAACTGTGAGCGGTCAACTGCGACTAGATTTACCGGTGTTGTCTGGAGTTCGTCTGCCTTGCAAGAGTGGAGCGGAATATAATAGCAGAGCGAGTTACTGCGCGGGCTCATGGAAGGACATAGAGCGTTTTGAGAGATATATGGAAAAGTCTATCCTAACCAGATACATTTCTCTTTTTCTCTCTAAGATCTACGATTGAGAATTTCTGCAGCCTTGGTCTTCTTATCTTTTTGTTCATGTCGTACCTACCACGCGGCCGCCTCGACCGCTCCACCGTCCGCGTCAGCGGCGAAAAAAAAGAAAAAGAAAAGCTTGTTTTAGCGGTTGCAATTTAAAAAACACCGCCGTCGCAGGATTCGAGTCAATCAAGTTGTAGTTGGCACGAAATAGTCACGAGATGCTTGATAATATCGGAGCAATAACTCGGCATTAGGCATGTGATTGACCAGATCGTCAGTCACAGATAGGTACGTACCTCATGATACTTTCATGATGGACCGTCCTCCGTCGTATTAAGCATTACGTGCGCCGTGCGGGAAGTACAAAACTTCACTCCAGGAAGCAATACACCAAAAAGCTGCTGGCCAGCTCAAAACCCCTTGCTGGCTTCAGCTGATGTCGAGGTTCGTCATAACCAATGCGGCCTTTCATACACTCCAAAACGATTTGTGCGGTTCATAATACCCAAGCCCGCGCTATGCAAACTTGGAGATTATCGTAATACATTTCACTTCTTGCCCTTCTTCCCCTTTCCTTTTGTCGGTTCGTCTGTAGTGCCCAAAATCGCGTCAAAGGTGATGTTCGGATTCAGCGTTGAGGGTGGTCGAGAGCCATTGCGGTACGAGGGTGGCGCATCCATAGCTTCCAGGCCCAAATTGACCGAACTTCGATCTCGACTGATGCTGCGGAAATCGCCAGAGCCAGTAGGAGATGCCGGGCGCAGTAGCGGTGAGTGTAGGGGGCTGACATAAGGAGATTGGGCGGGACTCGCATACGGTGAATATGCGCTGGCTGGCCGCAGCTGCAGCTGGTACCCATTGCCATCCACGCGCTGGGATGTTTCTGTGGTTGCTTCTGGAGTCGATTCTTCAAGCCACTTTGTAGCGGCTGTCCAGCAGTGGCTCCGTCGGTAAATCCCTTCAACACTGTGATCGATCAGGTCTGCCGGAAGACTCACGTAACCACCGCCACTGGCTACGTTGTACCATGCTCGAGACGTAGACTGATCTTCCTTCATCCACGGTCGCCCGCCTCTGGGTGCGACGCACAGGAAATATTCCACACCTTCGGTATGCTTCAGGTCCCTCGCGTCGACCACAGTCATGGGCAGAGCCTGAAGGACGGCGTACATGAACAGCCATTGCCCACATCGCGCGTCTACGACCTGATCAAGGGTTTTTCCTCGACCAAGTTGACGTTCGTAACTGAAGAAATCCTGGATGAAGGTGCTGGCGACGATCGACTCGCGGTTGTAGGACCCCAACAGCACCTCGTTGATCTCGTTCTCTTTCAGCTTTTTGCTTTGAGCGGCTGATTTGTCAGAAATCACCACATGGCGACGATTAAAACTGTTGGAGAAC